AGCACTAGTTGCCTTTATTTGACAGCAATCCGACAGGAAGGGGGCAGAGAGGGGAGGGAGGCCTGGGCCCAGCGAACAGAGGACGGGAGTCGGGCTCCAGATACCCGGTCTGTCTATGCGGGGCGCCGCGCTAACCGCTGCGCCGCCGCGCTAACCGCTGCGCCGCCACGCTAACCGCTGCGCCGCCGTGCTAATCGCTGCACCAGGCAATCCCTCTATTCCCTTACTGAAATATTCAGTTTCTCTTTGGTAAATTATTGACATTTTTATACAACTGAGCTGTCTGATGAACTCACCTTGTTCACTTACTTTCATTTACTTGGAAAAATCTGTTTTGTCACGTGGTAGCGACTAGTCATGAGGGAAGCAGATCAACTATGCTAGCTTGACTTTGACAACTTAATGTGTAGATGTGCTACAGAATTCGGTTTGTTTCCGTAAATCCGCACACCAACGTTACAGATCATCGGTAGAGTGTAAATTAGTTAATCTACCACTGCTGTGTTAGCTTAGCTATTAGCAGCGGTAGCTAATCCACCACTTATTAGTAATTGCGAAATAAACATTGAGCCTGTAACGGACTGAATGTTCTGATCTTTGTGCGTGTAGTTTTTGGTACATAAAGTGCTGTTGTTGACAGTTGCTAAGGCAACAGGTTTGTATGTAGCATAGCCAATAAGGTGCTAGAGAAAAACAAAGAATCTGAGTGGTTTTGAGTTTTCTGGTAGTTTTTGGCGCTCTGAAATAATCTCTTCTTCTGCAGGTTTCATTTGGCTCACGGTTCTGCCGGCAGCGCCGGTACGCAGGAAGAGGATATTCCTTTTACCCTGCAGCGCTGTGCGCCTGCTCCAAATGTCTGGATGTAAACAATAACATGCGTCTAGCATCAAGGGTCGCGCTGTGAGTGATTCACAGTCAGGTGAATCCAGGAAGTGCTGCCCTACCTGCTCGTTTGAAGCGCTCCATCAGGTTCTGCCTCACCTCCTGCGGCAGGTTGATGTACTCGTCCTGCTCATCGGGACTCTTCACGTACAGAGGAATGTGCTGGAAAACCAAGATGTGTTTGGGTTTGGGCTCCTACACACAAAACAGAAACAACCACCAGATCCTGGTTCAGCTCAGGAACAGCTGATCTCATAGTAGATCTGCGTGAATCAGAGAGCGTCACGGCGCCGCACCGCAGAGGAGGCCCTGCTCAGCTGCGCCTCCAGCCACGTCTCCTGGGCCTCCTTCTGCTGCGGGCAGGCCGAGGCGTTGAAGTACAGCTGGGAGTTCAGGACCAGGCAGAAAACGCCGCCCACCTGGGAAACACAGAGACCAGCAGCAAAACGATAAAACCAGCAAAACATCCCGACATCACCTGGCCTCACAGGACACCGTTTAGCCCCGACGCAGGTGTGAAAAATTCAGTTTTTAACCAATAAAAATCTTTATTTGAGTCCACCCACCCTTAATATTGCCACTAACTCTGAAAATCTAGAGGCAGAAGTTTTTATCCGCTCTGCTCTCTGTCATGAAGCCCAAACTTCTCGTCTGCCAAATGATTTACCAGATTAAATTGCAGACGGATTAAAGAGGACATACATGACTTCAGGAATGAAAACTGAAAATATTCTGAACAGTCAAAATGTTTGACAAACGTGCGGTTTGGACCGTCTCAGGTTCTGGTCTGCCTCTCCTGTTCACACAACATGATTTCTTGTCCCGATTTCCCCTAATGACAAACTTTGAACATGCAACGTTCTAAGATTGTGGCTTGCGATAATCGTAGCCGGCCATCCTGTAGTGTGATGTGTTACGGCTGATCAGGTCCAGACGGAACATCGGACCGCTCCGATCCAACATCGGTCATATTCAACATGTTGGATTGTCTTGGCCCGATCATCGCAGCCTGTTGAATGTAGCCAATCAGAAAGCGTGGTGCCGTAAACACGGAGGGGAATCCCAAACACGGCGCCATCAGAGATGACATGTGGATCAGCATGAATGTTTATTCAGCATTTCGTACAAAGAAAATCACCAGAAATGATAATGAGAGGAAGTGAAACTGATAAACCTGCTGACCTTCAGCTGCCATTAGCCTGACATGACGGTGACACCAGCCACATGCTCTGCAGGTCGACTCCCGTAAAACACTGACTGGTTTTAAAATTAGTTAACTGGACTTGTAGCCATTATTTTGTGCCCATTGTTCTCAATGCAATTGTAAACATTAAATGACAAATACTAATTAACTGATGAAGCTTAAAGAAACAACAGAACAGAAAACAAGCTAAACAAAAACGGTGACAAACTCACCTCCACAGTGAGCAAATAAAGCGGCTGCTCGCCCGTCTCCTCTTTTTTATCCAATGCCTTTTCTTCTTGTTTCGTCTTTTATGCTTAAAATAAACTCAAACTGTTGTTATTGTTTCCACATCATCAGCCGTGTTTGTTTGCTCTTAATTCATGTGTGATATCGCGATTTTTACGGGTGTTGCTCTTGCTGTGTGGCTGGACACA